GGTGATCTATGCCAAGGCCTGTACCAGGTTCCACCAACTCAACGAAAGATGAACAAATTTTGATTTTCTACGTCTCACAGCAGAAGGAAAAGAAAAAGTATTCTGAATAAAGCTAATTAACGTGTACTTCTGTACAATATATTTCCTGGTTAAACATGTCTGAATCTTGTCCCATCCTTTTCACAATGGAATTTGGGGGGCACGGGAGGCCCAGTCGTCTAAGGCGCCGCAATTGGCTGTGCACAGTAGGTCCCTTGGGCACGCCAGAAACCTATGATTGTGGGTTCGAATCCCGGTTCGCCCTGATTATGTGTCTAGGTTTGTCAGCACCATACCCTTGCTCGTGGGTTTCACCGAAGTAGTAAACATCTAAGACCTACATCACTTCAGGCTTTCCCCCCACATTAAGCTGAGACGCCATGATATAACTGGAATACTGTTAAAAGCGGCGTTAAACCCAACTCACTCACTCACTATGGAATTCAGTAGAGTTTATCCGTCTGAAGCTATGCTTTCAATTGTTTAACACTCCTTGAAACTGTTAGCCCTGAACAAACTAAATGAGAATAGAAACAGTAGAAAGAAATTACTTATATATTGATTCAAAAACTGATACTTCAAAAATAGGGCTGGGATGGGTCCAAATTTACTACCTGGGTACCCCACCCACTATTACCCTACCCTACCCTACCCTACCCGGGTACCTGATGTAGGTCTTAAGAGACAAAATGTCCAATTGGGAATAGTTAGATCTTAGCCCTGGTATAATGTATTAGATACTTATATAAAACGATCTGGTCATATGCACTGAAGTTGAATGAAGTTTTGACTTGATTCAATCATTTAAGAGTCTGAAGGAATGGGTGCATGGTCTGACGGAACTGTGAACAATAGTGACTTGTAATGTAACCATGGAGTCCAGATAATTGAACAATATAACATCTGACTAACTACTGGTCTGGGTAGTTCTGTGGGTACTGGGTCCTTCTCAGTACCTCCCCTCCCCCACCCCCATACCCCTGACCCGACTTACCCATCCCAACCCTTTTCAAAATCATGTCAAGATAATGAATGAAGATTGCTTTGTCCTCAGAACCAGTTTGCGTGTCCCTTTCCTCACTGCTAACTTCACTTTTCCATGTTGTCAACCACAAATAACCATTTCTAGAAAACGAGACATTTAGTAGTCACACACCTTTGAGTTTTAGCTTAAAAAACAAACAAAAATATGACAGAAAACATTTACCTGAGAGTTAATGGAGACCTGTGCCTTGACTCGGGAGAGTTCAGCTGTAATCAAGGGACTAGTGTCTATCCTGGCTGAGGGCAATATGATTGATAATACACTTACCCAGGGACAAACAGATATATATCTCACATTGCCCCTGCGGTCCAGGAGTGTCAAATGAGAGTAATGACCTCATATTTCGTTTTTGAACAAGGTCAGGTCATCATTCCAGACATTTTTTCCCCTGACAATAAAAATATGTTGTTACCTGACAAAACAGTTGTAGTTTGGGGAAGACATGGTGTTGTTTTACCTCTGTGGTTACAAAATACTAGCAATATACATTTAATAACAGTTTTACTGACACTGTGTTTATATGCTTTTTTGAGTATTTATATAAATATTGCTATAATATGCTTGTAGGAATATTGCAATGATATACTTGAATCACTATTATACAAATATCAAGACCCAGGTTCTCGTAGTGGTTCAAGGGACGGTGGGGTAGGCTAGTGGTTAAAGCATTTGATCATTACGCTGATTGCCCAGATTCGAGGCCCATTTCTGGTGTCCCCTGCATTGAGATTGCTGGTATATTGCTGAAAACGATGTAAATTCCATCTCACTCACTCTAAGTGGTACAAGGATTTGAAGGTAGTGAGTTTCAACCCCACGTCTGCCCCTGTTGTAATCTTTTGTCAGCAAAATACCACTGCCAAAACTTTTAAATCTACTAACCTGGAACTAAGCATCATTTCTTGTACAGTTTAGTGTTATCAAAAATGCACTTTTACTTGCTGAGCTTACTAGGCGTGCATGCATGTACTAGTCCAGACTAATGCTGATTTTATACTGCTAGCCCTCTGAGATACTATGGCATACCATACCAGTTTTACATGAATACCCTACTCAGATACAGTATACTGGCTCCGAGCCGACCAGGCCATGTCTTAGCCACTTCATGATGAGCGCCAGACAGGGTAACAACAAGAACCATCTTTTAACGTCTTTTGGTATGACCCGGCCGGGGATCGAACCTCATCCTTCCTCTCTTGGGGCAGACGCTCTACCACTAGACCGCGGAGGCGGGCAGTTGGTTTACCAAATGTTTGGCCCACAATCCAATTGTGGTGGTTTGAAAATATATGGGGAAAAAATGAATTAAATTGTTTACAAATGAACTTACTGTCAGTGAGGGAAAAGCAAAGACATGGACACTTGGAAGGACATTCAGTTTAACGTTGGACGTTGCAGTAGTCACCAGATTGTGTCATCTTTGTCTACATCCACAAGTAAAGTTCACAACATCAATCAGGATTTTGACTGACAACGCTAAAGTTAAAGATTCCCGATACCAATTTGTAAGTGGCGGTGGTTTCGTCCTCCAAGTAGCTGTGAAGTATTGACTTGTATGTTCCTGGGACAACACCAAGGCATTAAGTGGCCAGCTTTAAAACAAGTGTTCTAATGTCAGTTGTTTTTATGTTGATTGGTTTTGCAAACCAGCTGATGTATACAATAAGTAACCTAAACCAGCATTAGAAATTGTTGTCCTTGCCAAACTGCCCAATAGTTAAGGTATCATAAGGACTAGTAGAAATTTGCCATTTTTTAGGGGTTTTGCTTTGTGTTATCATTATGAGGACTAGTGGACTAAATATGTTAGTTTCTACCCCTGCCTGAACAATTTCCCCAGTTTCTGTTTCAGTACAAAAACTGTTCAGTGTAGAACTGAGGAAGATTAAAGTTCTTTTGATACAAGAAATGAAATAAGTTGTCAGCTGTATAAGACTCTCATGGTTCGAAATTCCTTGTAACATTTTTTTTGCTGATGTCATGGTTAAAATTGTAAAGGTACAAAGGGCACATGTTGAAATCATGTTTTTACCAAAAATAATATGTGATAATAAATGTTTGTTATTTGAACTACTCATGAATTTCTATCTCTGAAATCTTTGATATATCATCGATAAGAGAAAGAATATTGTCTATTCTGAGGCAAATATACAAGAGGCATTTATTAAGACAAGAATGCAAATTAGTTCATATTTTGAAAGTTTTTAAGTTTTATGTAACATTTATTTCATTAATGTATTCTTCAGGGTGATAAAATGTGCCTTTAACACTACCAGTGATGAAATTTAAACTAAGGTTATTGTATGCAAACTATTTCAACTTGAGGCTTAGGCAGCGACTCCTACATACCTGACTAACTGGCTGTATTCAGGGGTGTGGTGTTAGCTTGTGTCGCTAGTTGACACTTGTAAATGAATTAAATACAGCACAATGCTAAACAGCATTGTCCTCGGTTTGCATAATTTACATTGTTGCCATGGTAACGTGAGAAAGAACGGATGAACTATAGCCTTGTTTATTAATATATTTTGTTAAAAACTGCATTGTTGGTGGTGAAAATAAAAACAAATTGCATGCGACAGGTATTTTTTTTAACAAGTAAAAGGATTACATCCATTTTCATACTGACTTTCATGGAGGCAAGAATATACCTTGGTCTGTACAGCCGTGGGGCAAGGGACTCTCCGTTTGGAATTTGGGGGTCCCAGCCATTAAAATGGGGGACCCTGGGATATCACTGTAGAAATAGAAACAAAACAAGAGTGATGCTGTTTGTTTATACTCATTGTGAGTAGTTTGGAATATTTTATTTTTTAGCGAAAACTGAGCACATTTCATAAAAACCAATCCCCTGGAATTGTTTATGATCCCTGACATTTCTTGTTATGTATGTAATAGAAAGGGCTTTCCTTTTTTATTTAAAACTTAGTGTTTGAGCATCATCCACAGAACCAAGATGTGGTCATACAAAATGACAGAGGTGTGAGTGTGTTACACACCTATAACGTTACTAACAGGTTAGACTAGGTCTTCAGCAGCTCATACTTGCTGTAAAAGGCGACTAACGGGATCAGGTGGTCAGGCTTGCTGACTTGGTTGATGTATGTCATCGTATCCCAATTGCGGAGATCAATGCTCATGAAGTAAATCACTGGATTGTCAAGTCCTGACTTGTTTATTTAGAGAACATCGTCATATAGTGCAGGGTTAAACAACAAACGAACTGGATGTCAGTTCATTGAGTGACATCTATTTAATTCAAATGACATCATAGCAGCACAGTTGTTGAAACAATATCAGGAATGTTACAGTTCAGTAGAACCAGTTCTAGCATTGTTTTTATGAACGTTAGTCACCTTTTAGATACTTCACAACTCTGTCAAAGCTGACAGTTAACTATCAAAAAGGATGTATCATCATTCAAAAACCTGAAATAGACATTTTTTCATGGCTGTACATTGGACTTTGATAACATATGATGAATTGATATTGTAATTGCAACTCACCATGCTCTATGAATCAGACATCATCTCTTGTAAATAATTCTATCGATTCTGTCCGTTTCCATAATTCAAAAGCTCAGCTGTCAGTTTGACTTGTGTTGTGTCATTGAAATGTGTTACATGTGTAAAACTCGTACATTGCTGTCTGTCAAGGGCCCAACAAGCAGCAGATGGCCAAGCAACATTGTAATGCTAATCTATTTCACCACACCGTGTCCTCTCTGTGTCGTTCACAATAGCAGGAATTCTGTCACACTTTGGTTACTTCAGGACTGCTGTGTTAGATCACCTTAGATCATCTTAGATCGCCCTAGATCGAGCCCGAGCTGGCAACCCCCACAGCTCTATCAAGTCGTACTTCCCACGTGTGTGCGTGCAGATAAAGTGATATTTACAAACTGAAATTGACGAGCTCAGGTGTCAACAGTGAAATAGACGACAGGTAGACATATCTGGGTCAGCCCGGGTGGAGGCGGGGCCTAGTTGGAATATATCCCCTCACGGTAGTATACTTGGTGGTGTCGAGATACACACAGGCTCAGTGGGCACGACAGTCTGTTGTGAATAACTCGTTTATATTTGGAGGTTTTTTGTGACATTGTGACAGGCATGTTTGCATTTCTTTGAGGAAATGTTTTTTTAAGGTGTGTGAAATTCAATTCGGATTATTGTAAAGTGGAGATTTATTTGGTTGGAATGTGGACAAGTTTACAAGACTTCAGGATTTGAAGAGGCATGGATTTTCACTGATTATTGTGGAGGATGTATGTATATGTGGGATTTGCATCAGATGCAAAGATTTGTTGAAACACCTGTGCGTCAATGTGTTCAACAGGCTAAAACTGTGTCTCTGTATGCAAAGTGAAGGTGTTCATAGCTTGCAGCATTTGGAACATCCATTCGATGCCATTATATAATGTAATACAGGGAAGAGTTATACATCAGTCATTAGTTGTGTAGCAGACTCGAGTTGAATCTAGCTGTTGCTGAATATATGGGGGTCCAGCCTGAGCACAGACAAACTTGGATTTTTTAGCTGCTAATGTTTATTTTAATTTTGAAATTTTCAATCTCCATATTGTTTTCATTTGTCTCATAGGAACTACGGTAATCAAGATTTAATTTTTGTCAAATCCAAAAATTAAGAAAAAAAATACTTTAATTTTTCTTGAATTGAAGTTTACAAAGTTTAATCTATGTTTGGTTTTTAGTTTTAACATAAGAAATAAGTTTTCAAAGTTGAAATATTTTTTCAGTTTCTCATTCTTACCTGACCATTCAGAAATCTTCCTGAAAATTTTAAATTTGAATGTTACCGTAATCATCCCTTTTAAGGTTTTTGTTCTGTGTTTTGTAAGCCAGTTAGGGGAAGCCAGATTGTAAGTCTATTTCTGTTTGGGCCCACTTAGCTGCTTTAGAGTAAACAGCAACATTTGTTGAAATGGGCGTTTAAGATGACATGCTGGAGCGAGAGCCTGTAATACACTGTCAATACCACTTGATGGGCTCATTCATTCCACATTACTAACAATATCAGGCCTGACAAAGACATTGTTTGAATATTTGAAGAAGTAATTTTCATCTGTTGATGTTAAATAGATGCCTATATTCAGCACTGACTGAAGTTATAATAGAACACCTAGCATTGAAATCAAATACAGAGAATAGAAGTAACATGAGAACTTCTCAGCAGGATTGAAAAAATAATTTGGCATGATGAAATGTATTTGTAAGCATTACTTGACTTATGATCAGCATTTTCTAGAAATACCCTCTTCAGAATTATAACAAGAAACACAAGTTTGGTGTACTCAAGTGCTGGGTATTTCTGTGTAGAGGGTTTTGGAGTTGGGAGGAGTTGGGATCGTTGCCCATATCCTACAGGGTAACACGTATATATTGACACAGGTATTCTCAGGTGTGTCCACAGGCTGAAACATTCTTGTCGCGACATTTGGATTCTGTCGTCTTCTCCCAAAGCGTGTTCTGAGGCACTTGTTACGTGTTCTGTCTGTATTTACGTGTCTGTGTGCTCATTAACACAATGGCTGCAAAGATGCTCCGACTTCAGTCTCTCAACGAGACGACTGACAGCCACTTGTTCCAGCGACGCCGGATCCACGCAACCCAGGACAGTGATGATCCTCTCGACCAGGCTCTCGCGACGCTCAACCTGCTGAGATTTGATCAAGAAAGGTGAAACTGTTTGCATTAAATGTTCATGGAAATGTAAGGTTACATTATGACTAGGTGGCTGTTACAGCTGTATGAACTGCTGTGGGTAATTACGATGAGGTTGAGGCCTGCGTAGTTGTGTGTGCAACAATGCTGGTCTTCTTGTTTGTTTGTTTGTTTGTTTGTCGTTTAACGTCTCACTCAGCAGTATTTTAGCTATATGACGGCGGTCTGTAAATAATCGAGTCTTGACCAGACAATCCAGTGATTGACATCATGAGCATCGATCAACTTCTTATAAGTGAAATACAAGCCACCATTGCAAATATAATATTGATTTTGAAGAACTTGTGATGTTTAAGATTTCAAAATGGGAATTTATACCATTGGTGCATACACATGGAGTTAAATCAACCCTAGGAAATGCCCAGATATATTCCTTGCATTGTTGGGTACAACTTTACACCAGTGCAGCCAGACTTTGAAAAAGCCATTTTTCCCTTTAGTGAAATATAGAAACGTTTCACTTGTCCTAAGCTGGTTAATCATCAAAATCTACCTATGATTAAGAGAATGTGTTTTTTGGACTCTTATGAATGTAGTGTATTTCATGCAATATTTAAAGAATGAAACATGTACAATAAATGTTTTCGTCTTTGGTAGCTGTCAGACGGGATGTTTGGTTGTGAGGCGGGAAGGATGAAAATCAAATGACTGGTTTATTACTGGCCTAGTCTACGGTGTGTTTGCTCATAACGCCAGACCAGGGTTTGAATCCACACATTGATACAGTTTACAAATTCTATTCATGGCATCAGGATATGCTGCAGCATAATCAGTGTTCCAAATTAAGCATGGAGAGTCATTACCTTAATGTTAAAAGTGACAGATTCGGGCACCCCTTACTGACACATTCGGGCACCCCTTACTGATGCTGCACCCCTTACTGACAGATACGGGCACCCCTTACTGACAGATTCGGGCACCCCTTACTGACAGATACGGGCACCCCTTACTGACAGATTAGAATAGGAGCAAACATCACGGACCCAACAACCCCTTTGATGTCAAACACTTATATCCCTCTATTCATGAAGCATATGACTTGAAAACACCGGTGCAGTGGGGTATCCCAGTGGTTCAAAGGCTCTGGCTTGGCAACTGGACTCCGCTTTGATTCCCAACATGGGTACCAAGTGTGATGCCAATTTCTGCAGGATGCAGCTTTACCATAAACATTTACAGCCCAAATAGTGAGAACATATAAGGACACCCCTAATAAGCCTAAAATTCTAGTAGCCATTAGGATACTATATACAATAGACAATGGCTTGGGCCAGTAGGCTAGTGACCAATGTTTGAAATTCCCACCCGCCCGTTACTTTGAGCCTGTGGCAGGTAGATCTCATGCCGGCCCCATGCTTTCAAAGTTGTAACTTGTATGGATCCTTATGCCTTATGCCTTATGCCTTATGCCTTGGGCCTGTGCGTCCTGATGGCAGCCTGGCAACTTGTTTATTTCAAACACTGATAGTGACAATGTTGCATCCCAGTTCCTGTGTCCTCTGCCATTCTGGCATCTTGCTAAAAGCACCACAAAACCATTCTCATTTCCTCACTCACTTTCAAGCCCAAGGAGTGGTGTCTGACTTAATCTGTTGCTGGAGGCTGGAGGGTGTTGTGATGGCCTTGGTGTAGCATCACCAGGGGCCGCCTCACCCGGGGAAAGTACTGGGATTAAGATAGGTATGCTAGATAAGTTGTGTATACACAACCACAGGAGCTGCTCCAGGAAACATACACTCTAGGCTTTATTATAGAAATAGTACGTGGGCACTCAACTGGTTAGAGAATTCCAGAGGATGATCGATGCTTCATTAGTTCTTGAAGGAAAACTTAAGCTAAATTGAAAACATACTTAAAGTTAAAATGTTCCATGTGGACTATTATTCATGGTCCATAGAGTATTTGTTGTTGTTTGTATTTATTTATTTATTTATTTATTTATTTATTTATTTATTTATTTATTTATTTATTCATTCATTCATTCATTTTCTTGAAGAAGAATAATTATGGAAACAATTTCAGGCTTTCAACTTTATCACAATCAAAATGGAAAATGAAAAATAACTTATTGATCGTTGAGCATGTTGAGTGTCGTGAAAAAAACTATTAAGAATTATCAGCTGTAATGAAGGCTGGATAAACAGACCATGGTTCTTAATATATTTATTTCATCACATTATCACAAGGTTAATGCTCATCTGAAATCCCAGTGGCACACATGAATGAAGACCTAAGCCCTTGGCACGTCAAAATGTACAATGTAAAAAACAATTTTGAACGAAAAAAACTCAAACACATGCACTCAAAGATAAGAATCTCTGTCCCTTTTCCATTCGCTTTTAAGTGGAAAATAAACACTACTATAGCTCTGGTGGGAGTACAAGTTAGATGTTAGGCATAATGTAAATACAGATAAGTTGGACTTGTCCCACCGATGTAATGTCCATTACTTCCTTGTGTATCTTAAACAGAGTACATATCTCCAGGCAGTATTCTCTCAGTTCATATATCACAATTCCTTAATCATGGTCAGACAAAACAAATATCACAAGCATTCTACTTTGGTTCACAGAATGACTCGGGGCAATACCATATCCCAAATACAGCCTAGGTCATTTTGTTCATATTTGATGGAGTGGAAGAAAAGTGTCGGGCTTTGTTAGTTGTTATTTGGTGCAAGAAAACAGCCCTTGCTAACGGTACCTTCCAAATACCTGATCAAATAAACATTTGTATAGGATCAGCCAGATTGTGATCAGTAGAGCAAACACTGGTAGTTGGAAGCAGTGAGGCGTGAACCCAGAGAGACAAGTGGTAGAAACTATATGACCCTGGTTGTATGTTGGGTGTCTACTAGTGGGATTATCTAGGGTGTAGATAGGGCAGTCTGTCTGTTGAAGATAGACCTGGGCAATTGATGGGCTTTGAAATTTATTCTGGGTAGACGGGAAGACCTCCCATCTTGGTGGATCATTATCATCTCTTGGGCCTGACTTAGGTTTATCCTTCTCACAGTGTCACCCCCTCTGTCATGCCTGACCCCCCTTAATCCTGACACCCACCCCTTACAAGATCTCCATCTGGATTGAAACCGTTCCCATCAGTCTCACACACCTCTCGGATTATGTCTGTCCTCCCATCTCACACCTATCTCTTGTGTTTAGACCACCACCCCTCAGTCTCACCCCCTACTTGATTATGGCTGACCCCATATCATACACCTTCCACTGAGAAGAGACCCACCTTACCTTCCCTCATCTTGCCTGACCCCTCGTTTGACTCCTACCATTGACAAGACCCCCATCTTACCCAAGGACTGTCTCCCCTCAATCTGCCCTGACACCATCCCCACCCCTGCAAGACCCCCCACACCCGATGTTTCTGACAATGACAGCCACCCACAGACAGACTGTGATTCCATAAAGAAGACACCCCATTGACTTAATGTCCTCTTATACGCACACTCCGTTGTCCTTTGAATCATGAATAATGACTTCAGGATGAACAGAGCTGTAATATCTGTTGTGCATTTTCCTCATAAATCTTTCAGAAGCACTTGCTGCTGATGATGCTTGTTTTAGTATGAATTATTATGCTTCATTACCATTAGGTGGCTGAAGTATTGTTCAAACGTTTACTATTTTGTTAAGTCACAATGAGGCTGTATTCAGTCAGGTTTTATGCAGCAATTTAATGTTCCAGTAATATCACAACAAACTAGTTGTCAGACATTTGAACAGTTCTGAAAATGTTCATACTAAACTTTCAATGTTTTCTAAAAGAGACCTTATATCCTACCCCCCTCCTTTAGTGTAAGAAACACAATACCTTGATTTCCTCCTAGCCTTCCCCCAGGCTGTAGTGAATGATAAGTCCATGCATGTATAGTAATTCTATCATCATGATCATTATAATAGGCAAGTCTAGATAAGGACACCAGTCTCTTATAGGGACAACTTGTCCTTGTTATTTATATAATCTGGAAATTATGATTTGGACTAATGCAAGTCTAATTTCCTCCCAGCATCCTTGTTACAACTACATCTACGTGATACGTGCAGTATGTCCCATCATGTCACAACTCACATTGTGTGAATATTGTGCTGCAGCAGCAAGTTTTCACCTATGTATTAAATATGAAATTTGATCCTCTTGTGACCTTCTCTCACCGACTTTTACATTGAATATTCTGGATCTCGTGCCTGTGAAGATATGCTTGGTGAACACCATTATTTTCAACTGTGACCCAGCTATCAGTCTCCTGTATTATTAGTGTGCATAATCCGTGAAGTGGTACTGTGTGAAGGGAGCGTATGGACTAAAGTGTTAAATATAGGGAATATTTTGTATTTATGGCAAAATGAATGTATTTTGTGGCAAGTTGTATATGTACTATGTCAAGTATATGGAATAACCATATTCTGCTTGAAGACAGTAAAAGTTGTTGTTTTTAGCATACTGAGGGGATGCCATATAAAAATAATAATTATGATGATGTGTACTATGTGCATTAATGCCCAAGTCAGTGGATCATTGTGCTCATTCTCCCTGGGGAGTATACAACCCAAGCTTCCAAGCAGATGCTAGAAGACAAGTGTCACATTACTATCTGATTCTACCGGGTACCCATTCACTGCTGGGTGAACAGCATCAAATTTTCAACAAAGCTAGAAAGCTACTTATGGAGACACCACAGTATGGGTCAGGACTGAAGCCCTAATAAGTCCTAGGAACCCAGCATTTCCTAACTTTGTCTGATTTGTGACCTGTGTGCTGTACACTGTGAGGACCAGGGGTCCGGAAAATTTTAAATCCCAATCGGACATTTGCATTTAGGCCACGCCCCCTTCAAATAGTGTATTTTAGTACGACTTTTCACACACATTACAAGTTTACGTATTCATAATATGATGAATTATGAATTGTTTTCATTTAAATTGTTTAATTCACCGGAC